TGGCCCTCCTTGAGGCCTCCGGGATGTCTCTAGGGGCACCTGGCGATGAGGCCTTGGATCGAGTATCGATCCCCGAGGAAGCTCTGCGAAGTCTCATATGGAGGAGCTTTGCGAGGACTCGGATCAAGGATTGGATCGAGGGTCGAGGAGCGAGGATCGAGGCTAGGGCGATGATCGCTTTTTCCTGGCGCGTGATTAAACATTTTTGAAGTCCAGGGACCTCCAGAGGTCTCCTGGCGAGGAGGTATCCGCCCCCCCTCCCCTGAGAATCGAGGCCTTTCGGGCGTTTCCGGATTTTGTGGGGGCCCTTTTGGACTTTGGGAGGCTCTGGGACCTCTCTGGGACCTCCAGAGGCCTCCCGAGACCTTCGGAGGTGTCCCTCGAGGATCGGGGATCGTGTTTCTGCATCGTCTTTGGACGTTGCTGGCCCTCGTCGGGCCTCCACATGCGTCCAGAGGCCTCCAGCAGGACTTTCTGGAGCCTCTGGGCAAAACATTGCAGACTTTTGGAGACTTTCCAGTACATGAAGTCTTTGACTGCACTCTCACTCAGGGGTTCTTGATTGGGTTTCTAAGCGATCGGGCTGGTCCACCGAGGGTGCTTCCACGTTCGCGCTCGTGGGCGCCCCGAGCGCTGGGTGCGTCCCCCGAAGTCTCGCCTGGGGGCCGCCCGTGGGCGCCTCGTGGGCGCCCCGTGCGCAGGAGGAGGAGGAGGAGGAGGAGGAGGAGGAGGAGGAGGAGGAGGAGGAGGAGGAGGAGGAGGAGGAGGAGGAAGGAGGAAGGAGGAAAGGAGGAAGGAGGAGGAGGAGGGAGGAAGGAGGAAGGAGGAAGGAGGAAGGAGGAAGGAAGGAGAGGAAGGAGGAGGAGGAAGGAGGAGGAGGAGGAGGAGAGAGGAGGAGGAGGAGGAGGAGGAGGGGAGGAGGGGGTGGGGGGTCCGCCGCGGCTTCGCTCCGTGGCCGCCCGGTGCGCGGGCCGGGTCCGCCGAGGCTTCGCCTCGGTGGCCGCCCGCGTGGGCGCCTCGTGGGCGCTGCGTGCCGTGGGCGGGTCGGTCGAAGCTTCGCCCGGCCGCCGCCCGTGGGCGCCTCGTGCGCTGGGAGGGTCCGCCGAGGTTTTCCTGGCCGCCCGCACCGTCGGCACCACGTGGCTTTCACCGTGCAGTCTGCACCACATGGCTCACACCAGGGAGCCTGCACCGCACAGCTTGCATCGCACAGCATGGCTCGCACCGCAGAGCTCACGCCTCCCAGCTCATGCCTCCCAGCCTACAGAAACTAGCTTGCACCACATGCAGCTTGCACCACAGAGCTTCCTACTCCCAAATGCAAGCGCTCCCTGTTTGGGATCCACGCTGGCTGACATTTGCCGTTGGGGTGCTCTCTCTCTCTCTCTGTCGCACGCGCTACTTTAGGCTGGTCCCTGGCGGGAGTGCCGGGGAGATCAAGGGAGGGAAAGGAGGGGGAGAAGCTGAGTGGGAGGGGGGGGCACTTGAAAATGCGAAAGTGACGGGAGGAGCTTGACCAAGACGAAAGGGGGGTGCATGGGGGAGAAGGGGGAGAAGGGAGGAGGGCCAGGGGAGTGCGCAAGCTCAGTGCGCGCGCCATATCTGGCATCCTACCCTTCCCACCCATCCTCCTCGTTGCGCATTCTGCTCTCCATCCGCCGACGGGTGTCCTAGCGGACCTGGACCCCCCCGATGTGCAATCAGGAAGGGGAGCTGTGCACGATGGCGGAGGAAAAGAAGAAGGAGGATGAGGAGGAGGTGGCGATGATAATGAGGATGCCCATGACGAATAGGAGGAGGAAGAGGAAGGAGGAGGAGGAGGAGGAGGAGGGGGAGGAGGAGGAGGAGGAAAAGGAGGACGAGGGGGGGAGGAGGAGAAGGAGAGGAGGAGGGGAGAGGAGGAAAAGGAGAGAGGAGGAGGAGGAAGAGGAGGAGGAGGAGGAGGAGGAGGAGGAAAAGGAGGAGGGGGAGGGGGAGGAGGCGGAGGAGGGGGAGGATGAGGAGCAACAGGAAAAGGAGGAAGAGGAGGAGGAGGAGGAGGAGGAGGAGGAGAAGGAGGAGGAGGAGGAGGAACGCATTGGGCCCAGGTGGCAAATCATCGGGCCGACCCGACCCTAATTCGATACCTGAGATCCCCCCGTCCTCGCTCGCCTGCCCCGCCCACCGGGAGCGTCCTGCTGCTGGTCTCGCAGCATCGGCTCGAGAGCAGGCCACCTCCGAGGGTTAGCCTTGAGCCGGGCCTTGGCGAGAGGTAGCACTGCATGTGCCCTTGGGCCAGGGCAAGCTCCTCACCATCATGATACGAAGAGCACAAGCAAACGATCTACACAACAACGGACACGAACCCGCAGCCGGAAACAGGAATGGTGGGATGGAACGCGGCACGCCTGACACCACTGGCGCGGAGGAAGCGAGCGGGGAGCAAGGGAAGAGCGGGCGCGTGCAATGGGCGCCTGGACATCCGAGAATGTGCCTCAGAGAGTTTCCTCCGAGAGCAGTCCTTTAGAAATAACAGTCCCTGGTGTGCCAAGGGAATCTGGCAGACGTGGCGCACGCATTAAATGACGTTCTGCACGCGCTGGCATCGATAGAGGCAGGTGCGATGCGTGCAATCCTTTGGACAGCAATGAGCAATCGCTCGCATTCGAGATCGGAAATAGGCATGAAGTGGCGAGAGCGCTTGCATGCGCAGGCAGCAGCTAGCCGGTCCCTCGCACCACGTAGCGCCAGCTCGGTTATCTTCTGGCGCTCACGTTCGCACGAAGCAGGCGCCACAGGGATGGGAAATAATTCGCGATAGTTCTAATGCAGGTTGCCGAACATACTGGCGCTATACCATCAATGGGAACGCCGCATAATAATGCCAGGAGTCCCCGGATTTCGAAAAAGGCCGGGGCGGTGCCGGGGAGCCTGTGCGAGGCCGCCTTGCCGACGCAAGAAAGATCGCGAACTTCGCCGGGAAAACGCAGGCTTTTCAAATCGGTCAACATGCCCGACGTATACGCCGAACGAAGGGCAGAAGTTAGATTCTGGATGGCGCTATTTCCAATCTGGGCGGCGGCCCGAGAGGGCTTACAATATTGTATAGCATGGGGCAAAACCGAGAACCCAGCGGAATGGAACTGGGCAGTGCCTGTGGCAAGACCTCGCTTGAGGGTCTCAGGTGTTCCACCGAAGGGGCCAGCCAACTACTCAGGTGACCAAATTTGCCTATAATGATTCCCAGGTGCTCTCCTGGCGCGGCGGCCGCGACGAAGCCAGGCTGGAAAGCGACATCGACCGGGCGCTGCTGGACATATCCTGGGGATGCACCGATCGCGCGGATGACGACAGTCTTCGCTAGATTAAGATGCAACCCCGTGGCGCCAGAGCAACGCGCGAGGACTGGCGCAGGAATTGCCGAGCGCGTCGAATACACTGGCACCACCCATGCCCAAGTCGCCCGCAAACGCGGTGCATGGGGATGTGCGGTTGGGTAATCGCGCAGCAAGGGGCCGAATCGCAGGGTCGACGGCGAGAGCGAAAATGCTGCCCGACAAGGGGCAACCTTGCTTTGTTGCCCTCCTCAGCTGAAATCTCCCACCTCGAGCTCCACCAAACGAGACTGCGATGTAAACATCAGAGTACAACATGTGGATGCGTTGGCGAATGTGCTGTGGAACTTGCAACACTTCGAGAATCCAGAAAATGTGGTCGTGCTTGAATGTCGGAACGGCGCTCTCGAAATCAAACGGGGTGAAGCCGGCGTCGAGTAACGCGTGTTGGATGAGCCAATGCATGACGTATCCGTTCATCTGCGACAGATTTGCGCCATGAATCGGTTCTTGACGAAGCCGCGCTGAACGTCGACGCAAGAGAGTTGGCATGCGTTTCGAAATTGAACATCGATGGCAATTTGAATCAACTTGTTCTCGCTGTTGCTCAAGGGGATCAGTCTGGTCTTGGCGGGGCGCGGAACGGCCCTGATCCGTCGGTGGGGTCCGTGCCCTTGGCCGGAGATACAGCGCCACCCAGGTTGAATGATGCGTGAGGTGATCGGCCTGTCTGGAGCTCCAGTTCGACCTGTTGCAGAATGTGGCGCGCGAGTTCGCCTGCTCTCGGAAACGCTGAGTGCGGCGGCCCATCGGGGCCGGGGGCTGCGCCACTCTTCCTCATGATGTGCTCGGCGAAGTCGCCCCGAGCCAGGGTCCATTTGATATGGCAAGGGCGTGGGCGGACGAATTGCTGCAACTCGTGCCGCGCTGCGGGGCCAGGTGAGACTTGGGAATGAACGGCTCCCCGACGCTGCCCTAGAAGCTCGCGCGCTTGCGTGGGGTCCGAAACATGTTGCCCAGTCGGATCTGAGACGTCAGATAGACAAACCCCGCTTTTTACCTTCCCCCGCGCGGACATCTTTCTGCCTAGTTTGACTTCCTCCGAGCTGCCTTTGGAGGTTCGGGGGCGCGTTCCTCAGCGAGTTGGCCAATGC